ACACACAATGAAAAGTAATCAGGAGGTTTACTATATAACCGTTCAAAAGGAGAAACACTCGAAGTAATAATAGTTCCATCAGATCTCTGTATTCCCCACCCTAATCACACCCAAGACATTAATAACTGTAGAATATTATGCGTGAATCATGACACGAAAAGCAGCAAAGATTGAGAAAAATTCAGATCTCCAACAATATTAGGTATAATCATCAATAAATAAGTATAGTATCGAGACCCCTTGTTGGTGGCAATGGGATCAGGACCCCACACATCCGAATGCACGAGGTCCGCAAAGAGCAGAAAGGTAGTAGAACTATTCTTAAAAGGTGAAGTCATGAATTTGACAAGTTTTTACCACTACAATTAGAAATATCATGACTACTTAAATTTTCCAAAGCACCAGTAGAAACTAAAAACCTTAAACGAGAACTTGAAATATGCCCTAAGATGAGAATGACATAAATAAAACACTGAAGCTTTAGGGCTCAAACGAAAGGAAGAAAAATCAATAGAAGAAGCAGCCATAGCTGGAACATGCATTTTCTCCAACACATACAGTCCTCCAACTCTATGACCTGTCCTAATAAACTTCTTGGAATAAGGATCTTGCACAATACAACTAGTAGAAGATAATTGAATAGTGTAACCAAGATCACAAAGTTGACTAATAGAAATCAAGTTCAAAGATAAAAGTGAAGTAGTAATATATCCAACACCTGTTATCCACATGGGAGTACCATTAACAGCCATAATACTAATAGAAGAAGGGGGAGATGATGTGGAAATAAAAAATGATGGATCATTAGTTATATGATGTGTAGCACCTCAATCAAACACTCAAGTGGACTGAGATATACTTAAAGGAGCTGATGAACATCAAAAAGAGATAAGCCTATATTGAAAGAAACATCCATATATGTTGTAACTGGTGAATTTTCACTTTTCATAATTTGAAATTTCTGGAAGTTTTGGGCCTGAATCTGAAATTTCAGAATTTTCAGAGGCTGAATCTGAAATTTCAGAAATTTCAATGGTTGAATCTAAAATTTCAGGAACTTCAGGGGCTGAATCTGTAATTTCTGATACTTTGAATAGCAAAAACCGTAGCAGAAAACCATTGGTACCATTATCCAAGCTTACAATGCCCAAGAGAAAGACTAAAGTACCCCTAATGATAAATAAACGTAAATGTAAATACAATCTTAACAAACCGGTCAAGTAAAGTCTCACAATTTCTTGCACTCTTTAGGATGGAGTCATGCTGTCCAAAGGACATTGATGGAATCCCTGCTGACACCTTGAGTAACTGAGAGAAAACTAAAGATGTCTTACATTTGATAGTGCACAAAGAATCCTCTTAACAGCAAATTGGTTTATTTGTCATACTAAAAAATTGGGGCTCAAGTAGACTTCTATAATAAAGTTTTAGAAGCCTTGGTGACAANTACTAAAGATGTCTTACATTTGATAGTGCACAAAGAATCCTCTTAACAGCAAATTGGTTTATTTGTCATACGAAAAAATTGGGGCTCAAGTAGACTTCTATAATAAAGTTTTAGAAGCCTTGGTGACAAAAGGCTGCTCGCCAGGCAGAAAAAATGAAATATGCCATCGAGTATTCAAGCAAAGTATCTCTGGGAATGATCCCTTTCTCTTCTAGGCAGTAATCTGTAACGCCCCAAAAACCCCCGTGGGTGACATTACATTCTAAAAACCATTTACCGTATGAGAGCATTAAGTAAAATTCATCACGACGAAAGTTTCATTCATCAACCATTCATATTTTAACAAAATTTGGGCAGAGTCTCCTTTGTACGGGGAGCTCTACCCAAAACACAACCTGTACAATTATATTACAATTGACCACACCGGGTCCACATATGCATAACTATTGACCACACCGGGTCCATTTTTCCATCATAAAATAAACTTGCATTCATCATATGTCATATCCACACTATCATCCCAAATTAATAGGTCTAATCTTGGCCTTTACATCTCCAAAATGTAATAATATAACGCAGCGGAAATAACAGAAATGAACTAGAGTTCAAAAGGATATTCTAAGCATAATCTAGTCTAGAACAAAATAAAAGTGTCGCTCTAAGCGTCCACCTCGGGATCCACATCCCCGTCAAGCGGAGTCTTCCAATGGGTGGGCTCCTCGGCTCCTAACTCCTCCTCAAGTGTGAAATCTGAAAAAATTTTATTTGTAGGGGGTGAGCACGAAGCTCTGTAGCAAAATCCTCTCAACTCAAACAAGGTTTGAAAAACATAGCAAACGGTCGGTCTCATTTCACAACTAACATATATATAGGTTTGGAATGAAAACAGTGACATTTTAAAAGAGATCTCAAGTTTAAACAATAGCAATAATCAGTTAAAAGAATAAAGTGAGTTTAGCATCGATAAACAAAATTCTAATTTAAGCTATTTAAGAAGGGCTTCTCCCTAAGCATTGTCCCATACCAATGCATCGGCAAGAACGACCCAACTCCCGATTCCATGTATTTTTGGTTCATCCCCGTACCATGTATGTTGATTGCTTCTCGTGAATCTACCTAACGATCATGCCTAGTCCACCAATTCCAACCAACAATCACAAATCTCTTTAGGAAGGGCGTGTACCGTCTCCTACGGCATTGACGAAATCCTCCCAAGGTGTCTAGTATACTAACCCTTTTCCTCGGTGTATATGTGAACAATAGTGATCGCGAGCACAACAACGATCCACTACGAGCATTAGGCAACCATCTCACCCCCCATTGGGATAGACTAACCTCTAACACTCTACGGCATCTCTCGAAGGTAATCCAAGTCCATCACAACAACCATACAATGAGGAAATCAAGAATATTCACAATTCACAACAATTTCCCAAATATAGTAAAATCCCCAATTTTGTTTTCACATTTGTCATATAATCGAATAATCCAAGAAAATATGCAAGAGATCGTAATCTATATCATTGTGTTATACAATATTCAACACTAAAGTTTTAAAATCAAAGACAAAGAAGAAATTAGGAGAAAATCCCCTTTTCTTGAAAACTAGGGCTTTGAAGATAAAAAAAAAATCAATAGAGCTTTGGTGGTTACCCACCCTTCATATTGTTCAAAACATGGCATTTATTACAAATAGAACAAGAATCATGTATTTCATATTATATATATGAGAAGGAGAGTGAAGAAACATATATCTATATACATATATATATCTATAGATATATATCTAGCCTCAATGTGAGAGATTGAGAGAAAATCCCCTACCTTAAATCAAGATTCCAAGCTAAGACCCAAGCTTCAAGACCTTCTTGCTCTCCTTTCTTTTCCTCTTAATCTTCTCCTCCTAGGGTTTCAAAAGATTTGGGTGAGAGGGTAGCAAGAATGGAAGAAAATGGGAGGAGAATGTATTCTTGAAGAATTTGAAGTTTTGATTTCTACAAGGTATAAATCCCTCTTGATTGGTATTTCTATCTTCCTCTCTTCCTCTAAAATGGTTCCTAGGGTTTGGAGGGGTGAAATGAATGCTAAAGGGACGACATTAGGTTTTTATAGGGCAAGAAAATCGAGCAAAACCCGATATTTTCTGTTCAGAAAAAATCGGGTTTCCTTCGTACTGTTCACAGATTTTTGGTGCGACTTCCAGGTCAGTTTTGACCCATTTAGAGGTCGAATTGGAAATTTTTCATGAAATACACTTTTGTAGCCCTAGATGTCTAATATTTCCTGTCAAAATTTCAGATCAATTGGACATCAAAATATAAAGTTATGATCAAAATACTAAGCAGTGTCTATCACCCCTTTTTACCCAATTTCACTCCAATTTGGTTTTACTTCTAAAATACTTCCTAACTTCTAATACATCCCATATTACCTCTCCCAATGTTTTCCGACCTCCCGAATTCAATGGTAATGTTATTTTGATAAAAAAAAATTAATATATTTATTTAGTTACCCTTATCAATCTTAAACACATCCAAAAAAAAAAAAAATTAAGTTTGACCCAAAAGTCAATCCGTTCGAAACTCAAACTTCATGATTAATATTTCAACAATGATTCTAAGTTTTTATCCTCATTTTATTCATATTTGGAAAAATCTTAAGATATTAGTATTCTTATTTAATTTTAGTACAGGGAATTACATAATCACTTCTGGATAACTAGCAGCTTGTGAGATAGCTCACGCTTTAATATTTTCTTTTTACCACTCAGAAATCTTTCGGGACTCCCTGCATGTTTTTTTTTTTTTCTGTTTAAGAATAGTTTTAGCTATTATTAAATTTCTTAGCTTCCAGATTCGATTAATCTTCAATTCTTCATTAGGTTGGGAAAGATGCATGATCCAAAGTCATGACTCTTTGTTTAAGCTAGCCATTTATTTGTTGCTGCTAGATGCTTCAAAACTGGACCCTGTAATCAAGCATTAGTTCTTAATCCCCAAGTCTTAATTTCCTGATAATTTTTGACACTCAGACCTGATGGTTCACTTGCTGTGTCTAGTCCTAGTAACATGGAATTTGTTGGAAAGAAACGGTGAAAGTAGGAGTTACGAAGCCATTCACTGCATGTGACAAGAATTTGACCGAAACTCATTTGCTACAAACATATGTTTGGAACTTGTTTTTTCTTTTCCCCCTTTTTCAATTCTTTATAAATCACACCTTCAGACAATATTATGTTTTACCATGAATTCATTCCTAGTATTATCATCTTTTACAAATTTTTGTTCTTAAGGGAGTGAGTTCTAAGTTGGTTTTATAGCATACAATCATCCAGATCTTATCTTTTAACCCCATGGATGCATTTGATTCCCACAGGGTTATATATTCAAATGCAGGACTTGTGCGATTTACCAAGGGAGCTGATTGACATGCTGAATCAGTTGGTGTTCTAAGGATCTTACTCAAATATAGAACAGAAGTGGTAGACTGAAGTTTCCTAAGCAAAATTCCAGAATCTGAACACCTGGAACCGGTGGGCGGAATCATCTTTAAAATGTCTATATTAACAAAGTTACGCTGCATCACAGTGGATGTTACTGGTACACTAATCGCTTACAAAGGAGAACTTGGTGACTATTATTGCATGGCAGCCAAATCTGTGGGACTGCCTTGCCCAGACTATAACCATACGCATGAGGGCTTTAAGCTGGCATACACAGACATGGCAAGAAAGCATCCGTGCTTTGGGTTTGCTGAAAAGATTCCCAACATCATATGGTGGAAGACTTGTGTGAGAGATTCCTTTATCAGGGTATGATATTTCATTATCATATACTATCAGGTCATTGCTTATTGAATTATCCAGCCTGTCACCGAAATAGTACGTAACATAATGTTGTATTGATTCTAAGGAAAAGCAAGGAATGTGTGTTAACTCCCTGTTTTCATGTGTCGGTGTGACAACGCAGAACTCCTCACACAGTGATGCATTGTGCAGCAGCATAGTATGCTGTCTAACAAAACAAACATTTGTTGAAAATCTCCAGCCTGTATCTTGCTTTAAGTCCATTTTTTTTTTTTTACCATGTTCCTTCAGCTTTTCGGAGAATAAATTGAATCCCTTATGGTGACAGGCAGGATATGATTACGATGAGGAGACATTTGAGAAGGTGTTCAAACGCATATATGCAAGCTTTGGTTCTTCTGCACCTTATACCATCTTTCCAGATTCCCAGCCGTTCCTTAGATGGGTTCGTAAAAAGGGTCTAACAGTTGGTATTGTTAGCAATGCTGAGTATCGGTATAAGGATGTAATTCTTCCGGCCTTGGGACTAAATCAGGTAAAAATGTTAGGATAATGGGAAGTGTAAAATCGAAGAGATCTTGTAATGTTGCAATAATATAAAATACTGTTTCAAGTTAACTGTATATTCAGGTCTTGATGTTGATGTGAGGAGTATGTGTCTTGATACTCTCTCTCATGGCTTTTTGGTATTCAGGGATCTGAGTGGGACTTTGGTGTGTTCTCTGGTCTCGAAGGAGTACAGAAGCCTGACCCAAGAATATATGAGATTGCCTTGCAAAGGGCTGGAAATATTGCCCCAGAAGAAGTTCTCCACATTGGTGACAGCTTCCGTAAAGACTATTTGCCAGCAAAAAGCATAGGGATGCACGCGCTATTGTTGGATAGGTTTAAGACGCACGATGCTGAAAACTGGAGGAAATCTGGTGCTACTGTCCTCCCTGATCTGGTAGCTGCTCAAGAGTGGCTCATTGCCGAGAAATTGAGTTATTGACTTCCTAAGTTAACTTGTATACACATTGATTATGGTAGAAGATTGTATATCACTTGGCTCTTCATAATCTCCCTATAGACTCTGCACTGAAATGATTNATAACATAATGTTGTATTGATTCTAAGGAAAAGCAAGGAATGCGTGTTAACTCCCTGTTTTCATGTGTCGGTGTGACAACGCAGAACTCCGCACACAGTGATGCATTGTGCAGCAGCATAGTATGCTGTCTAACAAAACAAACATTTGTTGAAAATCTCTAGCCTGTATCTTGCTTTAAGTCCATTTTTTTTTTTTTACTATGTTCCTTCAGCTTTTCGGAGAATAAATTGAATCCCTTATGGTGACAGGCAGGATATGATTACGATGAGGAGACATTTGAGAAGGTGTTCAAACGCATATATGCAAGCTTTGGTTCTTCTGCACCTTATACCATCTTTCCAGATTCCCAGCCGTTCCTTAGATGGGTTCGTAAAAAGGGTCTAACAGTTGGTATTGTTAGCAATGCTGAGTATCGGTATAAGGATGTAATTCTTCCGGCCTTGGGACTAAATCAGGTAAAAATGTTAGGATAATGGGAAGTGTAAAATCGAAGAGATCTTGTAATGTTGCAATAATATAAAATACTGTTTCAAGTTAACTGTATATTCAGGTCTTGATGTTGATGTGAGGAGTATGTGTCTTGATACTCTCTCTCATGGCTTTTTGGTATTCAGGGATCTGAGTGGGACTTTGGTGTGTTCTCTGGTCTCGAAGGAGTACAGAAGCCTGACCCAAGAATATATGAGATTGCCTTGCAAAGGGCTGGAAATATTGCCCCAGAAGAAGTTCTCCACATTGGTGACAGCTTCCGTAAAGACTATTTGCCAGCAAAAAGCATAGGGATGCACGCGCTATTGTTGGATAGGTTTAAGACGCACGATGCTGAAAACTGGAGGAAATCTGGTGCTACTGTCCTCCCTGATCTGGTAGCTGCTCAAGAGTGGCTCATTGCCGAGAAATTGAGTTATTGACTTCCTAAGTTAACTTGTATACACATTGATTATGGTAGAAGATTGTATATCACTTGGCTCTTCATAATCTCCCTATAGACTCTGCACTGAAATGATTTGTTTTTTTCAAATGAGAAATCAGGGAAGTTATAAGAGAAATGAAAGCCTAAATTCCAAGTGAGTGCTGGTACCTTGTGCTTCCCAACCCAAGCTGTCCAAATCTCTCCTCATTTGTGATGAAGAATTATTTTTTTTTCTCACAAGCCACAACTAAAACAATAGAAAGGTAAAAAAATTTCCTTCTCTTACCCTCACTTCTGGCGTCAATTCTTCAGTACATGTCTGCCACTTCTAACTTGTTTCTTCTGTCCTCCTGTTAGAATTTAGACGTTCTCATCCTTTTAGTATAGAGCAAAAAGATATGATGTTGGATGATGGAATGTTCGTCTCAAGATTATCTACATGATAAAAAAATGCTTAGAATGGCTATGGATCAATTAAGTCGAGCACCTCATTTCCACACAAGCCAATGTTTTTTATGGGCTGACCGACGGCAGNCCTGTTAGAATTTAGACGTTCTCATCCTTTTAGTATAGAGCAAAAAGATATGATGTTGGATGATGGAATGTTCGTCTCGAGATTATCTACATGATAAAAAAATGCTTAGAATGGCTATGGATCAATTAAGTCGAGCACCTCATTTCCACACAAGCCAATGTTTTTTATGGGCTGACCGACGGCAGCGAACGTTAACCAGAGTATATTGGTTTAATACAACAAAATGAGAAAAATGGGTTGAGACAAATTTTGTCCAAGGAGAAGGCAGTATAATTTTTTCTTTTCTTTTCTTTTTTTCTTTTAATACGAAACACAAACTTTATTAACGAAAATGAAATAATGNCGACGGCAGCGAACGTTAACCAGAGTATATTGGTTTAATACAACAAAATGAGAAAAATGGGTTGAGACAAATGTTGTCCAAGGAGAAGGCAGTATAATTTTTTCTTTTCTTTTCTTTTTTTCTTTTAATACGAAACACAAACTTTATTAACGAAAATGAAATAATGCATATTATTGTACTAAATAGGTGGACAAATCCTCAGAGCAAAGCATTACCAACCCAAAAATACATGAGAATCAAACTATGAAACACGCCAAGCATTCCCCCCTGCCAAAATACAAAACAGTGGAGTTCCGTGAAACTCTTTAGTAACAGTGGCACAAAACGATGCTAAAAATTAACTCCGTCCCGTCCCCATAAGCTATCCACCACTTTACATTTATTGACAATAAATTCTACATTTCTCTCCAACCAAAGAGTCGACATAATTGCTAGAATTCCACATTCCATAATGATNAACTCCGTCCCGTCCCCATAAGCTATCCACCACTTTACATTTATTGACAATAAATTCTACATTTCTCTCCAACCAAAGAGTCGACATAATTGCTAGAATTCCGCATTCCATAATGATCCTTTTTTTGCTTCTCCGAAAACCATTATAGGTCTCAACAAACATGGTGGAGAAGGCTCNACATTCCATAATGATTTTTTTTGCTTCTCCGAAAACCATTATAGGTCTCAACAAACATGGTGGAGAAGGCTCTAGGAGCAGTCCAACTCAACCCTGCCACTGAAAACAATTGGATCCACAGAGATATAGCAACAGGGTAATGGGGAAAACAGATGATCCACAGATTTGTGATTATTACCACGTAGCTCATAGAAACCAGCCCCTATGCATGAACAAAGGAATATATTGTTTTCAACATAGAAAGCAATCCCATTGGGAAAAAAATCCATCGCTAGTTTTTGACAGAACTTACAAAATGAAGCACACAACTTAACCTACCACAAATAAGTCTGGAAACTTCAGGAGAATATTTTGAGTTTTAAGAAGCCTCAGGGGCTGGTTGGGTCATACCAAATTTCACTAACAACTTGCTCAGGGCTTCTGGAGAGCACACCTGATACTTCACTTTACCAGAAGAGAGGAATACTTCAGACAGTTCAAGCTTCTCTGAAGTAAGACTTGTGCTGTCCATTGTCTTACTGAGCACCTTAAGTGCAAGTTGTACCGCCTCTTCTCTTGTCATATCATCCTTGTAGTCCTGCTTAAGCATTGATTGAGACGCCTGATTGTTTGCTCCAATGGCTGCAGCCTTCCAGCCACCATAGTTTCCGCTTGGGTCACTCATGTAAAGCTGGAAGCCATAATTTTTATCCCAGCCAGCAAACAGAAACGAAACACCAAATGGACGGAGTCCACCAAACTGCGTGTAGCCTTGTTTCGTGTCACATAGAGACTGGACTAGCTGCTCAACGGGCATGGGCTCTTGGTAAGCAAAAGTATAGCGCTGTGCTTGGACCCTGGCTGTGTTGATAAGAATGTTGGCATCAGACATTATTCCAGCCACAGCACATGCTACATGGTCATCAATCTTGTACATCTTCTCAGGTGATGTTGAGCTTTGAAGGAGCTTGGAAGTGACTTTCTTTTCACCTATCAACACAACCCCATCTTTGGACAATATGCCTATGGCAGAACCTGCATTTCCAATGGCCTCCATTGCATACTCAACCTGGTAGAGACGACCTTCTGGGGAGAAGATCGTTGTACGGCTATCATACCTTCGCGACATCTGACATTTTGCAGTAAAGACGTTAAACAACTACTCCAGGGTAAAACATGTGATTGATACTGAAGATTTATCGTAAGGATATGAAAATAAGAGATGCATGGCAAATTCTGAATAACCAAACAATCATTGTAACAATGGAGGTGAGAAATAACTATCATGATATGTTTTGATGGACACAAATACTTCAATGTGTGGCAGTTGAGCTTTGTAGAATACCAACTGACTTGAAACTCCAAATTCTTCGTTCTATAAGAAACTGTTTTTCGTTGGTCATTATTATTGGAGTGCTCTTCTCTATATGGAATTTAAAGCTAGAAGCTAGAAGCTAGAAGTTTTTATGCATTACAAGAGTTCCTAGCAATTTAAACATTTCTTGTCACATTAAACCAAAAGAGAAAAGAAAAGAAACAAATCCTGTCACTCCCTGTCCAACTGTTACAGAAGAAAAACAGATGAAGCATGCTTCGGTTTTAAAATTTAGTTTGTGTAAAATGCATGCCAACAACATTACACTAATCAGGGAACGCTATGACAACTGGACCATAAGAACACAACAAAATGATGCTACTGCTGGAATTGAGTGCTGGCATGCGGCAGCAGGAAGCAACTACCACCATTACCACTCCTGATAGATCCATGAAAAGAGCACTCATGGGCAGTGTTTTAAATAACAATAAGGTCATGGGGTAAAGAAACGAAGCATAACGCACGTTACACAACACTAACGGAAACTGGATGCACATATTTTTTTTTTCCTGATTAACATGGCGTTCAAAAATTAAATGTGTGCATGCTTTAGGTTCCCAAATTATACAAATATAAATTTTTAGTGATTTAAGTTATAGTTTATAATAAAAGATATGTAGTTGGGTCTCTTTTATACACTATACCATGAGAAAAACCTAGACATGCCCAACAAAAGCAAACCACACTCAAGTGGGTGAGACAATTTGCTGTTAATTTCTGTTTTAATTTCGTCAATCAATATTATAATATTAGCAAATAATGTACACTACAAAACCTCAGCTTGAGCATGTCTAGTTAATTCATCAATAACAAAGGCAAAGAAATACAGTAACTTACAGTGATTTGGAATCCACTAGTCTCCCGGGTAGTTGTTTTTACTAAACNAAAAATAGCAAAAAATAGATTAAAAAAAAAAATGTGGCAACAGTATTTGCAAAATTGAACCCAATGGTCTTTAATCAAAAATAGAAGAATCCCTTCAAAATCCTCGAACATGGACACCCAAAGTGATGGCATGAAAGATATTTTATCGCATAAATCTTCTCAAGGAGTCTCCTTTTCTTTAAAAATTCGCTCATTTCTTTTCAACCAAACAACCCAAAACAAAGTCAATACCGCACATCTCNTTTTTCCTCTTCTAAAACATATCAAATTATCTCTCTAGGAATCTATAATAATAAATAGAGCTCATTTCGAATTCAACAACTTAGAAAAACACAATAACAGTCTAGATTAATTCCCTTTCTATCCCATTTCTTCCAACGATACAAAATTCATCCCAAAGAATCTTTCCTGCCTAAAGTTAAAAACCTAAAGTAAAAACCCCCATAGTTCGCACACCCCCCAATGTGAAACACCCACTCCCAACAACCCATCTCCTTTGCCTCTCTCTCTACCCAGCAACCCATGACCCTCCCTCTGCTCTCTCTTCCTTTTCTCTCTACCCAGCAACCTGTGGAGCCACCCTAGCCCACCACCGATGAACCCACTATTTAGATACCCTCTTTTACTCTCTTTCTCTCTCTCTCTCTCTCTCTCTCCCCCCCCCCCCAGGTATCTGGGTTCATCTTCAACACAGCACACACACAACAAAAAGAACACACATCTCTCGCACATAGCACACACAGTCACACTCAGCCACACACTTAGCCAGATTCACACACACAGACACATTTTGATCGCAAGAGGAAGCAAGAAAATAATGAAAGCAAACCCCTAGATTTTAATGTCAACCCTAGATTGATTGGATTTTCATAATGTTTTTTCAATCTCTATTATTGAATTTGTTATTTCGAATTGAATTAATTGTTGATGCTTTGTGTAAATCGCGTCTGTTTAAATATTTTCAGATAGAATAGTTCTTTTGGGCATACTGCATTTCTGCCAGCTATAGGATAGTTGAGTGGAGGGTTCCATTTAGTCGGTGTCACCATAATGAAAAGGTTGTTTTACCTACACCATTCTTACATATCTCATGTCCGACGAAATTTCTTAAAGAACACAGATGCATTGATACATATTTGTTTTTTGTTAAGAGATTCTTTTTTTAGGTATGTTTCATTGGATTTAGACAATTTCTTGCCATGGAGTATGTTAGCTTTGTGATGGTATGCCTTTCTCTTATAGTTGGGATTGGTGGGGATTAATGTTTTTTTTATTGTGATTGTTAATCTTTGGATGTCATAAATTAGGATAAGTATTACTCTCTACTATAAGTATTGCTCGCATTAATTCACTCATATGTTCCCAAAAATGAGCTTTTATATGTCCATCCAATCCTGTTCGGGGGACAAGGCTTTGTTGTGAATTGAGCATATATTCATCTAATCCTACTTAAGGTGTATAAACACTAAAAATATTAATTATATTTTCTCCTCTTTTTTTTTTGATAGGAAACGATAGAATATTGTTTAGATGAGTAAAAAGAAAGAAGTACATAAGAGGACAAGGAATCCTCAATAGATAACTAATGCAAGAAGAAAAAAAAAACCAAAACAAGTTGAACAAAAAATAGCAAAAAATAGATTAAAAAAAAAAAGGTGGCGACAGTATTTGCAAATTTGAACCCAATGGTCTTTAATCAAAAATAGAAGAATCCCTTCAAAATCCTTGAACATGGACACCCAAAGTGATGGCATGAAAGATATTTTATCGCATAAATCTTCTCAAGGAGTCTCCTTTTCTTTAAACATTCGCTCATTTCTTTTCAACCAAACAACCCAAAACAAAGTCAATACCGCACATCTCCATAGAACCTTGACTTTGGTACATGAACCAAAGCCATCAAAATTCATGCTAAGCACCAAATCACAACTACATGGAATCACCCAAGGGATCCAAACAATGCCCATGAATCTATTCCACAACTCTAAGACAATAGCACAATGAATGAACAAATGATCCTAGCACTCCGTTTCTTTCTTACAAAAGACGCACTATTGTGTTTGAAGAGAAAAAAACCACCCTTTTTGGAGCAATTCATTTGTATTTAGTTTCTTATGTGCAATCAACAATACAAAAATTGGTACTTTCAAAGGTTCCTTATTCTTTTAAACAAAAGAAAAACGTTCAAAAATTGGAAGTTGTGGTTTATCAATCAAGGAATAAAAGAAAGATTTGCAAGAATACTCACCCGAAGAAGAAATGATCCAACTTCTATCCAAGGAATCTTGTCTCAAACCAATGTGGTCAAGGATAACCAATAGACACGATATTTCATCCACTTCTCTATCTCTCAAATTTTTAAATAAGTTAAAGTTCCAACTAGTGGTAGAGGAAAACGATGAAACCATTCTTGCAATGGGTGAGTTATGAGGTCTAGATAGCATAAACAAATGAGAAAACAAGGATTCANTTTCATCCACTTCTCTATCTCTCAAATTTTTAAATAAGTTAAAGTTCCAACTAGTGATAGAGGAAAACGATGAAACCATTCTCGCAATGGGTGAGTTATGAGGTCTAGATAGCATAAACAAATGAGAAAACAAGGATTCAAATAAAAAATCTTCCCCCCTAAACATATTCCCAAAAGTGAATCTTCTCCCCATCGCCAATAACATACTTAATGTTTTGTAAAAAAAAAGGGACAATCCTTGAGAAATAAATTTCAAAGGACATCAACAGCAACCACTATAACAGATACTAGAGACAATCCCATACTAGTCAATAAGGGATTTAGGGAGCTTAAAAACATGAAATTAGGTGCCAAGCCAACTAAGAAGGGTGTAGTGTTTGAAGAAATCTAGGGGGGGTTGAAGATGGTTCTAAATAAAGATTCTTAATTGGAATGTGTGTGGAATAGGTAATGGGAAGAAAAAGAGGTCTATTAGGGAAGTGGTGTTAAAGCATACCCGGACATTGTGGTGTTGCAAGAGATTAAGATATAATAGGTGAAAGGATTGTGTGTTGTGTTTGGGGGGTTTAAGGATAACATTTTTTTCTCATCATGTGGTAGGCCAATGGGTATTGTAATTATATAGGTTGTCAGGTAGTATCTGTTTTAGACGCTGTTTCGGGGGATTTCTCAGTATCGGCACATTTGAAAATGAATGATGAGAAAAACTAGGGGTTTTCTTGGACTGATGGGGCCAAATAGATCTGGGTTAACAAGGAATTTTCGAGAGGAACTGACAGGTCTAATTGGTTTGGGTAGCCCAAGGTGGATTTTAATGTTGTTGATAAAAGCAATGGTGGAAGAGTGACTAGAGTCACTAGATGTGTGTGGGATTTCCATGAGTGAAGTAGAGAAACTAAACTAAAGGATCCACCTCTAAATAGAGATAATTTGTTTTGCAATAAGCTTAATCAGCTTTATTTTCAATAAATTGAGAGGAGTGATTTCCGAATGTGAAACAAGAGGCGCCACCCTTGCCCATTTTTCGAATCACCGGGGTGCAGATAGCTTAAAGGGGACTGCCCAAGTATTTACACTTATTTTCAAGGTTCATGTTCATTAGAAATCTGACAAGGTTTGCACTCTTTGTCAACAACAAAACACAACTCTCTTCCTTTATCCGAGTATGGACAAGCCTGATGAATTTATTTTTGATCAAATTCAAAACCATAAGAAAGGATGTAGACAGGAAAAACTTAATCATATGCTCCGGAGCTAATGAGCTCAATAAAGATGGAGCATTGATTCGTACATGGTCACCCAATTGTGCCAAGACAAATGTGTTAGT